CCATCAACAGGGATCCAAATCGAAATTCTGGAGATAGCTCGATTGGGTCAGAGACCCGGCCTAGCGACAGCGGACCCTCCGTACCTTCGATTGTGAACGATGGAAATTTCTGGGTTGTGTGGATGGAACAAAAGTCAGCGTTGGTTGCTCCTTCCACGGCGGACATAGATGGGATGGTCGAAACTAGACCTTCGCTTGCAACCGAGACTGAGCTCTGCAAATTTTGATTCATCAGAGCCAAAATAGCTTTACCGAAATCAGGATGCGATAAGATGTGGTTAAAATCTGACAAAGGTAGGTTGGTTGGGGACTGTGAGGTTACAGGCGGGCAAGCCGGCGCCGAGTGGGTCGACGCCGGAGAGATATGCGGCAACATAACTACAGGAAGAAGGTGGTCGGAAAAAATGAAGGTGGTAGAGAGAGAGAGGTAGAGAGAAGGGAGAGCATTTTGCTCCTCTGTTCTTGCTAGGTTGTATGGTGTATGGTGTTGCTATGTTAGCTGTCTATTGGTGCTAGGTTAGTTATTGTAACGCCCCGTTCGTTTATGAATAATTTGGATTATTATTATTATTATTATTATTATTATTATTATTATTATTATTATTATTATTATTATTATTATTATTATTATTATCATTATCTGTGGCTATTATTATTGATTGTTAATTGTCTAAATGCTTACATAATTTTTATGTGCCTAATTGTGTTTATTATATATATATTATTTTCGGTATTTTTATATTAAATATTAATTTAAATATTTTAATTATTATTTTATTCTCGTCGTCCGAGCATGTTCGAGCCGAAGTCGCGCGCCCGTAAGCCGCGTATCCGTGAGCCGCGCGCACCCCTCCCTCCTTCCTTTTGTGTGGTGGTGTTAATTAGGGCAAGTGACTTGTATGGTAAGTCACAAGCCCTAGCCCTATATAAGGGAGATGATCATCCCTCCCCTCACCCTCATTTTTCCAGCCGCCACTCCCATCTCTCTCCCTCACTCTCCCCATCTCTCTCTCGCCCTCTCCCCCTCTCTCGTTATTTTTTTAATCGGCCGCGCCCAGCCCTTCGCCACCACCTGGCTGTCGTGCCTCGTCAGGCCATCGTCGCGCGTCCAGGCCGTAGGAGCACCTCCCCAGGCCTCAGTTCGCGCCTCCCCGACGCCACCCGATACCCAGCAGTCGCACAAGAGACGCTCGGCGCCCCGCGAGACCACCAGCGCACCCGCAGGCCGTCCCCCCGTGCATCCGTGATCTCCCTCGGCCCGTCTACCTCTCTCTCGTGCGATTTATCCCGAGAACGGTACAAGGCTGTTACTCCATATTATTTTAGTGTATATATGCTTTGAGATGATGCCTTGTTGGGAGATCTCATGTTAAAGCTTGCTATATGATCGATTTTATTCGCATTTTATTTGTTTATGTCATTCGATTGTGATTTTGTGTTAAATCATGTTAATCGCTGTGGATCTATGGAACACTTGAAGTCTTTGGCCTGATGATGAAGGCCTTAGACGAAATTATTGATTGATTTAATTGTTGTGCATTTTTGAATCGTATTGTGTTGCTGGATCTTCGAAAAATCATTTAAATTTTTATACTCGTCCGATTGCTGCGAAATTTGACCTGTATAACCCTCTGATGATGTCATAGCTCGTCTAAAAATTTCAGAATTTTCGGAGGTCTGTAGCTATTTTTTAAAAATTATTGTAATTTCTGGTCAGATTCATATTTAATTTATAATAAATTGAGTTGTGCTCTAAACTTTATGAAATTTTAATATATTGTCTTTCTATATTATTATGATGTTGTGTAAAATTTTTATAATTTTTAGACTGAGATTGATAGGGTAAATAATCTATTTAATGTTTTTGCAGAAAGACGTTTTTAATTATGATAAATCGGTCCTTTGCTAAATAATTTTGATATTTGGCTGAGAAGCTAGTTTTATGTGGAGTGTCATGTTGTAAAAATATTAGAATTTCTAGAGCTCCAATTGGTTCGGTTTTAATTAAAATTTGATAAACTGCTGAATCTTGTATGAATTTTCATAATTTGTGTATTTGATGTTAATTGCTGGAATTTGTATATGATGATCCCTAGTTACTGAACTTGCTCTGGTAAAAATCTCATGTGTTAATTCGTTCGTTGGGTTAGGCTTTGAATTGTATGCTCGTTTTTGCTGATACCGTATTTGAATTTTGTAAAATCGTGTACTTTGAATTTGAGGCTGAAACTTGGTGATTTTTCTAAATATTGAAGAGTGTATTTTTGTTTAAAATTGCAAAGTCTAGTTCATAGGGAAACCTATTCAACTTAATTTTAGTGATTATTGGCTAGTGATTGTGAAATATGACTTTTATGTTAAAAACTGTAAATCGTCATACTTTTGTACTTGTTTGTTGGACTTGGTCAATCATTACTATGATTTATGTGAACTGCCATGTATGATTTGTTTGAGTATAGTGTCGAGTCTAAGTGTTCCAAAGTCCACAGAACTTCACGAACGACTTGGTCGACGCGAGTTCGACCAAGTATGATTGTGTATGTTTCTCTAAGGTCAAAAGTATTGATCTTAGTATAATAATTTGTTGTAGGTGTTTGACGAGCCGTGCTCGCCGCCTACTCTTGACTGTGCTATTTCCCCTTATTGCTGCACCAGGTGGGTTTACTTATTCAAAACTTGCTATGCCATATATGTGTGTTTCTTGTTGAGATGGTATGATTTTAGTATGTATGCAAATCATGTAGCCTATCGGCGTGAGCCGATGTCGGCCGTCGGAACGGTTGTCCCCGTCGAGTTACGGTACGGTTGCCCTTGCGAGGCAAGTCTCCGTAAGACCTAATGAAAGGCCGTGTCCGTTACAGTGGCACGTACCCCCATGAGTTAGGGTAATGAATCCCCTATCCTTGGCTAATGAGAGATGTGTACACGTGGGTAATATGTTATGATGTGATGTGTTTTGGAGACGTGACAAATGATTTCTTTATGTTCATACTCTAACCATACTTCTCTTCATTATTTTGTTGTGATATATGTG